GTGTCTTTCCCCCCCCCCCCCCCCCCCCCCCCCCCCCATTCTTATTCCTATTGCTGGCTCTTCACAAAGTTCAGAAACAGCTGTTCAGCAAGACACCATAAGGCTGCACTAAAAGTCTGCACTGAATATGCCAGTTGTGAACCAACACAAGCAGAGATACATCGCTGTACATTTTAACGGATGTTTTTTCTATTCTGTATATCTATTTGAGCTGATATTTAACATAAAAAGTAAAGTATTTGATTTAAAGAACTTTGAAACCCTCAAAAGATGTTTGGAAGTGTATCAATACATTGTGCCTGTGGTATCTAGATAGGATATGCGGTATTTTCATGTTAGGAGAAGTCACCACATGGCTTCTCTCCCAGGTTTTGCCTAAGGCTGCTGATTCAGAAGCAGCTGAGTAAAACGAATCAAGCATCACATTCACACTTGCTTCCATCTCCACCAGGGGCACTGTGAATATATGCAACCCAAATCTGATGGCATCTTAACTTCGTTATCACCTTGGAACAGCATTAAACCAGCTACTAAAGGCTTTAGTCAGTCAAAAATGCTGCTTAAAAACTACATTTTACAGATTTTTCCCTTGTCCTCCTCAATACCTAAACTGGGATAAAGGAAAGGAAACAGCCATGTGGTTCTCTATAGTTATGTCAGCAGTGCTCAGCACTCCTGTGCCTGTCTGAAGCAAAGCCACCCGCATTTCCACATCCCCGGGGTGCTCATTAAGATTCAGAACAGCAGGCAAAAAAAAAAACAAAAACCCAAAACCTCGCAGCAAATCTGGAGCCATACAAATGTATAATTTATAAAGAAAGCTAGGAAGTGGAGCATACAGAGACTGTGCACACTTGGAAAGACGGGGGGGAAAAGACAGCTCTATATCAGGATAAAAATTCTGCAGCCTCAGCCGACTCCTGCTTCTATCCCAGAGATTTTGCTGCAGAAAATTAACAGAAAAGCTGGTTCATGAGCTGCATCCCAAGTCATGTCCTTGATAAAGAAACTCAGCAATCAGGGATGCCGTAAAAGTTATCCATCCCCGTATTATGTTAACAAGGATTAAGTGGTGCTTTCCACGCGTAGGAGGAATAATACAATCAGAGAGATTACCTTGTTGGCATTTCCTGGGAATTCCTGGAGGGTTGAAAAGCCCTCAGGAAATTATCTACTTTGAATTAGAGGACAAATGGTTCAGGTACTTTATAAACTTTTTTCCTTGGCCAGAGAAAAAAGGAAACTGTTCCAATCCAAAATGTACTCGTGTGTCTGCGGAGTTCAACATTAAGCATGCACACACACTACGAACAGACTCCAAATCTCCCTGAGAATGGCCCCTGGGAAATGCACATTTGGTGTTCAAAGGTTATGGTCAGCCATGAGACCCAGGTTTACCCCAGGTAAAGATTAGCTAACATAGATCACACTAAATGAGGAAAAACTACAGGGAGGAGACAGCCAGAGGGTGCAACCACTAGCAGGCACTACAAGCACCATCAGACATGGATTCCCTAGAGCTGACTGAAGGAGAAAGAGGGTTGGCACAGCTGGCCCATTCACCTCAACTTCATTCATAGATTTCATAGATTTTTCATAGATTTCATAGACATCAGGGCTGGAAGGGACCTCGGAAGATCATCGAGTCCAGCCCCCTGCCCAAAGGGCAGGAAGTCACCTGGGGTCATAGGATCCCAGCAAGATAAGCATCCAGTTTCATCTTGAAGGTGTTCAATGAAGGCGCTTGAACCACCTCCGGTGGCAGGCTGTTCCAGACCTTGGGGGCTCGGACAGTAAAGAAATTCTTCCTTATGTCCAGCCTGAAACGATCTTGAAGTAGTTTGTGAGCATTCGACCTCGTCATCCCTTGGGGCGCTCTGGTGAACAAACGTTCCCCCAGATGCTGGTGGTCACCCCTCATAAACTTGTAGGTGGCCATCAGATCACCCCTGAGCCTGCGCTTTTCCAGGCTAAAGAGCCCCAGGGCTCTCAGCCTCTCATCGTAGGGTCTGCTTCCCTGACCTCTGATCAT